GACTACGAGTGCATTGATTGCAGAAGATGAAGAGTGAAACTTTAATGGTGCCCCTTCAATCCTCTGAAAAAATCCTCTTGATGGTTATCATTTGGAGCTACAAAAGACAGCCTGTAGCCTCAAACTACACAGTAAACTCTGACCAGTCTAGCAGATTGAATACCTGAAGAATAGTTACATGTACTAGAATAAATTCCTGTTCATGCCAGATATTTCAGTCAAAATCGATACGACAACATTTCCTTTAGCTCCTTCAGGGTGCATCTACAAGTGCAACTAATGTGATGCAATAAACTTTGGGGCAGTTTGCACTGGAATCAACTGCTCCCAGGCTCAATGTCTACATGTGGTCTGGGACAGCAGCAATTTTAGCCAGGGTGGAGCAGGCCCCCAGCTGGCTGGGCAACTGGGTGCAATTTATGTCCCCCGTCACTGTCTACACATGCATTTCAGCACAGTAAAGTACTCCTCTGTAAGACAGTACTGTTCCTAACAATACTATCCAATGGCAGAGTTAATTAGTTTACTGAGCCCTTATACCGGCACATATATAGACTGTGATGCTTTACTGAAGAGCTAATTAGTCTACCCTTAGGGCGCATCCACACAAGCATGGATGTTTGGTTGTACAGGGACAAGTAGTGGTGGTGCACTGCTTCTTGCCCCTGGGGAATGATCATGCCAAGCACACTTTGGTGCGTGACAAGTTGCCCAGGGTGGCATAGGGAAGACTGAGGCCAGCACTGTGCTGGCCCCAGCAGCCTTACCTGGGGTGCTGGGGGCCTCTTGGAGCTGCAGCCATGGTCATCCTGCCAGGCAGAGCCTGGCTGGCAGCTGAAGCACAGCTCCAAGTGGCCCGGCTCCGCTTTTTAGCAGTGCATGCTGCCCACATTTTTTTTCTGAATTATTTTTTTGACACCTGGTTATCCAGGAGGTCAAAAAAAACCCATGGAAAGATAAAACAGTGCAGCGCATGCTTGGGCAGTATGCTCTTGCAGCGCACAGAACACTGCACTGTGCAGTATGTGGCGCTGCAAATGTGTTGGCAGTGCCACATACAGCACAACCGCGCTTGTCTGAACATGCCTTTAGTGTTTAAATTACACCAGATCAGACAAAGATCCTCTTTCACTCCTTTAAATCTAGACAACCTTGGATTGCTTCCTGCTTGTTGACATATGACTTAGCACCTCCTTGCATCAAACTTTGATTTTGGCCCAGTAGAGTAGATGCAAGTTGACGCATGATAAGATTTCTCTATAATTACTTAGCCTTAGTCCTTTGCCACAGAATTCAATGGAAATTTTGCTATTGACTTCAATTGGATACGGTTGAAGCCCTTCAATTCCTTTATGCTAATTGAGGCTGCCTTACACATTAGTAGAGTGCTGTTTGATGTAAGGGAGTCTATAGCTTGTATAACAGACATTATTGTAGGACTGGAAATCAGTGTAGCAACGTTATTTTGGATTCCCTCCGACAGTTTGCAAGTTGATGATTTAGGTATAAATCATGGAGTAACGTCTTTGTAGTCAATGTAGTTTTGGGCAGTCAATGTAGTTTGGCTGCCATGGTACAGCAGCAGCATGGGCTCTCTAAGGGCTGCCATTCTGGTGCCTCGCCAGGGGCTCATGCCATACCCACCTCAAAGTTACACTACTGAGATCTCTGACTTTGTCCCATTCTGTACAGAGCAAGCAGCCATCACAGTTCTCTGGTCAACTCATGAAATCAGTATCAGGTTTTCTTGAATGAGGACTGTTTACAGAGTTCAGGATTAAACCCTAAAAGTATTTTATATATCATGCTAAAGTAACTCAGAACTGATGACAAAACTCACAACTAGGCTGCCAAGTGAATGTAATGCTTGATTATATCAGCATAAATAAATGCAGTTTGAGTTAGTATGCACCCAAAGTATTTTTGTGTGTTAGCAGGTCTGCGATTTCTTACTCCATAAAGCATTTTGGTCCATCTCACTGTATACATTTTTAAGGCATGCTTGCCATTTCCTAAAGGACACACAGACATTGAATACAACCTAAAAAAACCATAGTTCATTTTGCATTCACTGAACTGGACTATAGAAGAACTGAAAAGGTACTTACGCTCTACAAAGTAAGAACTGGCATCAATCTTCCAGATAATCTGACCCCGATGAGAACCATTGACCCCACGGTTCTTGTAGTCCAGAAAATTTTCAGACAAGACCTCATCTGCAGACAGGAAAAATGATCTTGTTAGCTGTCTGCCAGCACATCATAAGGAGTAAAAAGCCAGGCTAAAAATAAGGCCTAAACTCAGGGGAATGTACTATAGCTGATCAACAGTTTGACACCACATGTGGAAGAATTACCTTTTAGTTATTTATACTTTGAACAAAGGTATCGATCCTTAAAACTCAAGTTTTATTTACTCATTGTTTAAAATATACAATTATATAAAGCTCATAAGAATTCAAACAGTGGACATAATACAAATCAATTCTTACCCAATTCAAAAAATAAACAATGAGATGAATGTTGGAGACTGGGAAGTAAAGAAATAATGTTCTTGCATTTCTTAAGTCTCCCAAAGTCTCCCTTGTTTAGACATTTATTTTTCACTCATTCATAACTAATAGCAAATACAAGGTTCCTATCATGAATCACAGAATCATAGAAGTAGGGTCGGAAGGGACCTTGTAGATCTTCAAGTCCGACCCCCTGCCTGGGCAGGAGGGAAACTGGGCTCAAGTGACCCCAGCCAGGTAGGCATCGAGCTGCTTCTTAAAGACCCCCAGG